TTTTGGCTGCAGTACAGCGGTTTAACCACTGCACCACGAGGCTCTTCAGTAATAGTTATTATGCTAATATAATAAAATATAATGTAATATAATATAATATACAGTAGTATAATATAATGTACACTCAACATGGTACATCCTACCCTGAAGGATGAATAATGCAGAAGTGAGTGTTTCCTAGCACCTGTTCACTCTTTTCCTGGAGTACCACTTTGAAAGCTGCTCTTCATTTTATTCTTCCTCTCTCCATTTATAGTAAGGGAGTGAGCCATTTGTGACCCCCTTCTTTGCTGTAGGATTGTTAAACTATTCAAGTAACTCCTGCCAGTGTGGATTTTCTTCTGCACCAGTATTTTTATGATGAAGATATGGCAGACAAAAGAAGTAATGTAAGAAGTATTTTGAACAGAATAGCTTGCCCATATCTTCTCTTCTTTCTGCCTTCTAGTTGCATAGTGGAAAAATGGTGGTGCACCCATTTTTTGTTCACTTTACTATCTCTGGCCACACCTCTGCATTGTGATCAGCACATACCAACAAATGGGATGCACGCAGAACCGCACATATGGGTTCTATCTTCCACTTCTCATTTGATACTAAAGTATCAGATTGAAAAGAAGAATCAGCCTGAATGAACTTCTGCAAACTTTAGCAAAAGGCAGTCATTAATACACAAGTGACACCCAGTTTCATATTTTGTTAAGTGATGGACTCTATCACCAAATGCCTGGCTTTGACATTTGTTGAGGACGGAGACTGCCCTTTTGATCTGTTTTTGAAAACTATAACTAGTGCAGAATGTTTGTGCTGACTATTCATGGAAGTAGGTAGGAGATGAGAGCCTCGCTCACTGGTTCTCTGGCCATTGCACTTCCTGTCAGTGAGTTTCCATGTCAAATTCAAGGTACTTTTACTGTCTGTTCAAGCTGTTCACAACTTGTGATCCACTTTACTTCATCCAAGACTTGCCTGCATTGCTATTGAAATTATTTGATACCAAGAAGAATTCCCAGCTTTGTGGACGAGATGTTACCCAAATACAGTGGTGCCTCGCTTGACGAGGATAATTCGTTTCGTTCAAATCACTGTTATGTGAAATCCTCGTCAAGCAAAACGAAAAAGCCCATTGAAATGCATTGAAAACCTGTTCAATGCATTCTAATGGGCAAAATACCTCAGCATCCAGCGAAGATCCTCCATAGGGCGGCCATTTTCGTGCCTGTAAAGCGAGGAATCCATCCTAAAACAGAGTGGGGAGCCATTTTGCACAGCGGGCGGCCATTTTGAAGACCCAACAATCAGTTGTAAAGATCATTGTTAAGCGAAAAAATCAGTTCCCGAAGCAGGGAACCAATTGTCATTTTTGTCTATTAAAACATCATTTTGCAATCGCAAAAACTTCATCGTCAAGCGATTTCTTCGTCTAACGAGGTAATAGTCAAGCGAGGTGCGACTGTACATGTTTTTGCTTTCTCTTTCAGGTAGTTGTATAAATAATGTTAATAGGAGGGAAATACTGTGACATGATATGGAATGTAAAGAGGAGAAATTATGCTGCTGAATACTTTTGTTTTTGTTTTGTTGATGTTACAGCTATAGGAGGAGGATATATGTTGTTAACTGCATTGAACAGACGTAGAAAACTGCAGTCTAATGTTCTAAGTAGCTTGATATTGCCACCTGGATTTATCAACCTGAATATTCCTTGAATCCTAAATTATAAGAGATGGGGTTTGTAGTCTGTGAATTGCTTAGTGGTAAGCTGCAGGCCATTCTCCATCATGGTTCTCTAGATTTCTGCTTTCCATGTTCATTCTTGCTTGAAAAGAAAGATGAACATTAAGAATATCTCCAAGATTATTTAAATGGTGGAAGTGTCTGCATTGGGGTAGTGTAAATGAAACTGCTTTGAACTTGCATGCTTTGAGAGTGCAGGGAAATACAATGATCCTTTAACATGCTTGTAGAACTACAGTTTACAGAGTTCCTTTCTCGTTCTTTGCTGATTTGGATGGAGAGCCATATTAGTTACACAACATTATATATTTATATATTCTATGTATGTTTATAAGCAGAGCATGTTGAACCTGCCTCTGCTTACTTTCAGCTGACTTGGAAATAAATGAAATCTCTTTATGAAAAGGAGGAGGAAAATTACACCTCCCACCCTGACTTCCAGGACCACTGCATCAGCCATGAGGGGTGCAAAATATATCACTGCATTCTAGTGTTAGAAATTTAGTCCTAGATAAAATAAATTAGTAACATAAAGGCCATAATCTTACTGGGTTTATACAAAGTTAACCCAAAGTTACATAATTGGTGTACACAGTCATTCCAGCTGTCTGTTGCATGCTTGGATGTACCCACGTCACACACTCAGTCACGGACCTAGGCATATGATGGATAATTAAATAAAAAAACTATGAAAAGTGCTTGTGCAGTTTTCTTTATGTACACAGTATTTTGCAGGAGGACTCTGACCAGCAAATGAACACAATACAAGTCAAGTTCTGCAAGTGAATGTATGCAGTATCAGTCATATTTAATATAAAGGTTATAACTATTTTTCCAGGTCATTTTCCTTTGGAAGAGCACATACCTGTGTGCATAATAGCACTTTAAGCATGTTAATATGCTAGATTTTTCAGTGCCTTACTTTTTCTTTAAACTTCAGTATATTGTATTGTGTTGTCATGTTTTGAAGTATCTGTAAGTATTCCAGTAAAATAATTTCCTCATAAAGCTTTGACTTTATTTGAATGTAGTGATTTAAGCTGCATTAAGTGCACTTGGCTGAATCCATTTTCTAAATTACCTGAATTTCAAATGTTTTCATTTGTTGGGCAAAATAATAATAATCAGATATTTATATAGTACATAAAATTAACATGGCATACTTCTGTTGAAAGTTTTCCTTACTAATTACATCACATAAGCATTTTAAATTGGATTTCTGTCAGTTTAGGATACAAAAAAGTTCTGAAAATAGTTCTAGTAAACATTTACCCCCAAATTTCCTGCCACTGTGTTGTATCACTGTGTTGAGCACCGCCCCCTAGAGTCGGACACGACTGTACTAAATGTCAAGGGGAGCCTTTACCTTTTCTTAAATTAGCTTAGTTACCTTAAATGCAAAGGCCTTTGCCCCAGCCCTTCTTTTTATTTAAGGGTAGGCACATTTTCTCCTAATAACCCATCCCAGCCTGAGAAATGTACTTGGCTTGCAGTTGGCACTTCCTCTCTTGTTAAGAGTGAACAGGTTGAATGAGGTGTTTGCTATGAGCAGAAGTACAGTTTTGCATGCCATTGCAAGCATCGCAAATTTAGACTAAACAGTTTTGTGCAACATGTCTTGCGACATTCAAATAGTTTGCTGACTGGAAGCATAATTCATAGTAAACAGATCAGAAGTAGTGGTCAGCCACAAAGTAGTTATGTGAATCATCTGTGTCCTCTACCAACATAGGTATTAATCCACTGATGTTCATATATAATTTTTGACCCACTTACAACTCGATGAGTTACGGTGACCCAGTCTGTGAAACTATGCTTGCTTTGTGTTCACAGCAGTGCAGGCCGCAGCAACAATACCTTTACAAGGTTTATAAAATTATTTCTTTTTTCTGGCCAGACCTGCGTGGTTTGCAGTCTGTAGGCAATAGTTTTGCAAAAGGTACTTCCAAAAGAGGCCTTTAGTTTTCCATTGCACTGCTTCGTTCATGGAAGTTTATGGGAGAGGCCAGTAACAGTTCACTTTGTGGCCTTCCTGCGTTTTTCCAGTGTTTGCACTAAGCAGACCTTTTGTTTTTCCCAGTGTTTCTTCTGTCTTTATTTCTTACCGAAGAAAATCTAAGAAGAAAAGGTTGAGTAGGTGCCCAGTGCCTTTTAATTGTGAGTGGTAGGACCCTTATGTCTAGAAGCATGCAAAGGCATGAGGATGATATTATAGATATTATAGAACAATCATTGCCCACTATATGCATGCTTTCGCTCTTGCTGTAGTCTTTGTTTTGAAATGAGATTTGCCAAAATTTGTAACAGGTCAAACTGCAATGGAGAAGACAAACCTAGAAGTGCAAGTAGCGTTGTTGCCCTACGCAGGTGTACAGTTATTGCAATCACTTGCTGGAAAGATGTCTCATTCCTTACCTGTAAATTTTTTAAAGTATGTAAAGTTTTAAAACTAGCGGAATGGAGTGGGAATTTTAATTTTGGATGTGAATTAGATGTGAAAATTAGAGCAGCAGCTCTAATTTTTATCTGCTGACATCTTTTGTGCTTAGCATATATTGTTTCATCTGGTTTCAGTGAAAGCTTAAGGTTGGGCAGATCAGTTTATCTGTACTCTTAAAGACAAAACAACAACATTATCCTGGAGCACTTGAAGGATAAGCAAATTTATTGTGTCATAAGCTTCAATGGACTACAGCCCACTTCATGAGATGCTATAGAACACAAAGTTTATGCCATAATAAATGTGGTAGTTCTTATGATACCTTATGACTGTTTGCTGCATGTGTTGGAAAAGATTGAGGGCCAAAGAAAATAAGATATCAGCTTTGCAATTAGATGGCAGTAAAACAAATGACTGTGAAGTAAAAGCAAGTTGATTGTGGTTATGGAAACCTCAGAGTAGGATAAACAAACATCCTTTGCTTCTTATGAAAGCTCTACTTCTAATTGTGAAGGTTGTGTATTCTATAGCTTGGACTCAACATGGCAGCTTGTCTGGAAACTCTAAAGACGGCTTGTAATGGTTTCAAAATTGAAGTGCCAAGGGAAAATCTCTCTTTTCCTCACTGAGTGGATCTAGACCCATTAATCCTCACAGCACTTGATCACAACTTGTAATTTCACTCTAACCTATCGAAGAAACAATGTAAGCAGCCAAATCCATACACAAATGATACCTTTCACTCCCATTTCAAACCACTTTATTCTTCACATATTTTATCTGATCTCTCTCTCTCTCCCTCCCTCTCTTTCTCTCTCTGTAGGTGCCAGTGTCTGTGGCCATGATGTCTCCTCAGATGATTACCCCCCAGCAGATGCAACAGATCCTTTCTCCTCCCCAACTCCAAGCTCTTCTTCAGCAGCAGCAAGCAATTATGCTGCAACAGGTAAAGTTGCCTGCTTTCATGGCAGATACCTCTTGGAGGAGTTGTAGGAATGACAGTTGTCCTGCATTTCTTACATGCAAGTGCAATGTGTTTCCTGTTTGTGCATTCTGAGGAAAGACGCTATTCTGATTTTATGCATTGTGAGTCTGCAGCTGAGATACTGCTTTGCCTGTGGTTGCTTAGTATATCTCGGTTGAGTCTAGATGTGTATCTTCAACAGCCAAGCCCAATGCTTTGTCATATAAAACTAGTCATCTTCTTTGTCCTTAGCCTTTGAATGGGATAGTACAGATTGTTTCAATTTTCTCCTTGTTGAAAGGCAGTAATTTCCTTTTTTTTCTTTTTCACTTGGAGAGCCTGGCTTAAGTTACCTACAGAGGAGCACTTTAAAGGCTACACAGTTATAGGGCAGTTCAACATGGAAAACCAAACAAAGGAGCACCCAATCCCTCAATCTATTTTCTTAGTGCCTTACAAGCACTCCTCTGTTGACAATCCAATTTAGGGGAATTTGGAAATTGTGTGTGTTTTTTTTTATTACTTTTCTAAGCTTTGGATTTGGATGCAAGTGTTTGGGTAAAAAAAAATAAGCTCAGCAGTTTGATTTGGCTCTTGCACCTCTCATAGTTGTATTTAGCAAAAAGAATACCCATTTTCTTTTTCCAATACAAACTAGTGAGAACTAGAGAGAATATAAAAAGATTCCCAAGAAAACATAACTGTTTAGACAAACACTTGCCTCAGGGAGGGGGAGCAAACATGAAAACCAACAGCATCCTCCACACCCTTCCTCTTGCTTTCAATACCTGTTTACCTCAAACATGCTGATAAGGATTCAAGGTTGGCCTCAGGGAAAGAACAAAGGGTAAACACTAACTAGGGTGGGTCTTTCCTTCTACGAGCCTCTTTGGAGCCAGATAGAGAAACACGTTTGACTGCAAATTAAACAGCCTCGGCAGGAATTGCTGGCATTCTCCAGGAGAAGAAAACCAAACATCACACCTCTCACCTCTTGACCCAATGTTCTCGGAGTCCCATATAGAGACCTGGTTTTGATTGGCTTTTGGGTAAACAGGGAGGCTTTCCAAACCTGTTCAGCAGACAGAAAAAGAAAAGTTTATGCTGTCAGCACTGTCGACTACAAGCTGATAAGGACTCTCCCAGAATCCCCAGGGGCATTCCTCAGGAGCCAGCTTTTTTCCCTAGAGTTGTGGAAACCTGTGCTGACTTCTTTAGATCTGGCCCCCTCCTGTGGAAAACAAATTAAAGTTGTAAATCACTTGTTTTGGAAAGTATGTGAAACAAGTGGCATTCCTTTGAAAAGTCTCAGAATAATGCAAGTCAGTTTATGTGAAGTACTGGCATTTACCTAGGGTTCATAAATCACATTGCCAAGTTTAAATGTTTTTTTTGTGTTATATGTAACCCCATGCCTATTTTGCAGACAATGTAACTGAGGCAGGAACAGGAAATGATTTATAATTTCACATAGGTCCTAAGCCCCCTTCATATATCCCAGTTAAAGGCATTTTTATTTTTAAGCTTCTCAGGAAAAGGAAGAGAAAAGGCAAATGGATTGATTGTTGCATAGTGGGGTTATTTTTTAATGAGCATTTAAGATAGCTTTAGTCAGTTTGCCACCATAATATTTTGGGCACAAATCTCTATGGCAAATGGGCACACGTTAAGAAGTTAGTGTAGGCATTTCTTGCTGTACATCAGGTTGCATGACTTGACAAGCAATGGTAAGTGCAAACTTTGTAAGTTGCAGCGGATCATCAGATTTATGCCAGCTCAGCAGTATTTTAGCTACTGTATTTCTATTTTATTTGAAAACCAGTTTTTCCAGTTTAAAAATGCTTGCTAAAAATGACAGCTAAAAGCAAGTATTATGAACCTGCACAATAAACCAAAAATATGAAAAACTTAAATCAAACTCTGTTGTCCTGCATCCAGTCCAGATTACAACTTCCATGGTCTTCACACACAAACTGTCCCTTCCAAAGAGTGGTCCTGACCCGACCTGATAGGCAGGATATAAATAAAATAAAATAATAAATAAATAAATAAATAAAAGTTATAGAAGAAACATGTCATTTTGTCACAAAGCAATTTCGTCACTAAACGGGACACTGGCTAAGCAAGGCAACACTGTATTTATCAAAAACAATTGGGATTGTTGAGGGCTTTTCCATGGAGCGGCTGTACTCACTGGCTGTTTCCTGCTGCTGAATTTAATTTGTTGTCAGTTTCCTGTTGTACTGTAATTTGTTTATTTTCTTGTGTATATCTATGTTTCAGCTGATAAAAGATTTTTGGATTTTTAAATGTTAGCTGCCTTGTACATCTCTTTAGACTTAAAGGTATAGTATAAGTGTTTTAATAAGAACAAGAAATAGCATTTTATCTTTCTTTGTATGTAATATGAATGTAAAGGATATCTATGCTAACCTAAATGATTTTCTTAAAATAGCTTTATAAGGTAATCAGCTTGTATTTGTTTGTTTGTTTGTTTGTTGGAACCGAAAGGTGTAGTAAAATAAAAGAGGGTGAGAATATTTATTTATTTATTTATTTCATTTATACCCTGCCTATCTGGTCATTACGACCACTCTAGGCAGCTAGAGTTTGTTATAGATAAACAAAGTGAAACACAGTCAGAATTTAAAATTAAAAGTGTGTGAGAGTTAACATTTGTGTTCTAAATGTTAACATAACAGTAAATAATGTTTGAAACATTGAGAAAACACTCATATTTTCTTTTAATACTAAGAGAAAAATGTATTTATTCTTCTGATGGGATGTGGTAGGCAAGACTTCACTGTATACTAAGCCCGTCATCTGTCGGTGTCTCAGACACAGATATATATAAGATGGAATCATATTCCATAAGTTATGGGCATGCAGCAAATCTTTGAGGGGAGAATCTCATTCTGCCAACCTCCAAAAATCCTGAGGCTCTCATAGGATGCCTTTCATCATGGGGAAGCTTTTAGGAATGGAGGGACTTTGGGGTGAGGTCTTTAATTTCAAAAAATTGCCACTACCAGACAGATTTAAAAAAAAAAAAAGACCTTTGGGAAGAAGAATGAAAAATATTTTATTTCCAAAAAAAGTCACAGTACCTAATGATGTCACCAACCTTACACGGCATAATTTATGGCAACAGGATTTCAGCTATAGATTGCTATCCTCCTACTTCACACACTCCTTTCTCTGACCTACATAGTTTAATGATGTATAAGAGAAGTTTACAGCCAGGATGTTGTGTAAATCAAAATGCTGTTAGTGAGTCACATTTTTGGTATTTTTGTCACGTTTGCCACTCCTGAAGAAAAATAGTACATTTGGTTATTTGCTCACATTTCAAGAGTTTTTCAGGTCCTGTAATTGGGGGAAAATCTTTGCTTTTGTCTGCCTTTTTTCTCCTGTAAACCAAGGTGTCAAAATTGCTACAGTGTTCCATATCTCTGTCATCAGGAAGGTGACCGCCAGAACTACTGTTTTGCAAATAATGATTAAGGAGTTAAGCATAGCTAAAAGTGAGTGTTGCAGGGATAAGTGTAGGTAAGCAATACACTTGGTAATATCCACAGAACTCAAGTGGGTTTCTGGGAATTTTCCTTCTTAAGATACCCTTAATACTACTGTGGTGTTATGTACAGTACATAGGAATTGTGACATTACTTACATGTATGACACAGCTCCTGTCTACAGTACTACAAAAATGTGAACAGCTCGACAGAGGATCTGAAGAATTCTTGAGTGCAAGTAAGATAGAGCTGAAATCTCTTGCTGATAGAGCAAGAGAGAGATGTTCTTGAAAGACTGGGTTTCTTGAATAAGTAAATCTCTCAGCTTTTTATTCCAGCTATAAATGGGAGTATATAGCCCTGCTTCAGATAATGACTGGGAGGATGAATGAACTTTGGAGGCTCTTTACACTGAAAGGACAGCAAAAATCAACATAACCTTTCTTTCATAGATTCCTTGTGTGAGGCTATTCAGCTCTATCTTTTGTCTGTTTCTGAGGCTTGTTCTCTAATAGCCATAGAGCTCTACAGCATGCTTAGATATTTGCAAAATCCAGATAAGTTGTAGAAAGTTACTACTGTGTTCTTACTATGCATTCTTTGGTCTCATTTCTTTCTCAGCTGCAGGAATACTACAAGAAGCAGCAGGAGCAACTTCATCTGCAACTGCTGACTCAGCAGCAAGCTGGAAAGCAGCAAGCCAAAGAGGTAGACTTGATTTTTCATTGTTGCATGAATATTGCCGCAAAAAATAAAGATTGTCCACCTGTTCATAGATCAGTCAACCAATCAGTTAAGTCAATCAGTAAGAAATTGTGCAGAATTATGTGTTCCTTATTCCAAAGTACAGACTACTGTACTTCTTTGCTGTTCAAAATCCCAATCCAGGCTAGCCTTCCTTATTGTGATCTGTCAGAAATCTGTTGCCTTTTCAGGACAATTAGCTCCAATATTAAATACATGATTTTAGGAACTGAAAATAATAGATATTTGCAGCATTACTGCTGTTAGAACTCCTGCTAGAGTCACCATCATACGCTGAAGTGCTGTGAAAGTATTGTGTAGTAGCTTCTTTGCTGGTCTGAAAGCACAGGTTCCAGAACTATGATAATCTGTAAAATCTAGTAGGTTTTCTAGCTCAGCAATTTAAATATCTGGCTGTGGAGCCAGAGGTTGGGAGTTCAATTCCCCATTGTGCCTCCAGAGAGAAGAGGCTTTGAGCAAGCTGCACAGCCCCAGGTTGCCCCCAGAAGAAGGGAGTGGTAGACCACTTCTGAGTATTGTTTACCTGGAAAAAAAAACTCTGAAAAGGGTCGCCATAAGTCAGAATTGACTTGATGGCACATGATTATTATTATTTCATCACAATAACACAACAGGGAGAATTTATTCATGTTGTTACTGTATATGCATGGAATAATAAGACTGTTTAAGTTCTAAACATACATGTCTCAAAGTAATCTTCCCCTGCCACAAAATCAATTTCTTTAACCCCAGATTTGCATAGTTGAATGCTAGTCAGACAGTTAAAATTTTATAAATAGAAATTATTTCAGCACGTTCCATAAAGGTTTTTGTAAGGGCAAGTTTAAAAATTCAGATTGTATTGTCAAACAATACTGTATTGATAAAATCCATTTGCAGATCCTTTATAATATGAGGTATAGGTCTTTTCATTCACTATCTGTTGAGGCACCCCCAATGCCAAGCAACCATCTGAAATATTTACATCATTCCCTTCATGTCACCTTGTTATGAATTATTGTGGGTAACTTCTCTTTGACACTGCTTATATTAAAATGGGTGTTTATCAAGTTCTTCTGTTAGTGTTGGGTTGATAAAAGCTGTTCTGTTTGCTCCTTAACTCAGATTTTTGATCATTCCCTGTCACGTCATAGATGTGTGTGTCTTTTAATTTCTTTGTTGTTAGTTTGTTCCATTATCTACTGAAATAGCTCTGCAAAGCCATCACTCATGGTCAAAATTACTAGCAGCTCAGAATCTGTTTAATTTGAAGTTGATCAACATTATTAAATGCTAGTTGCATGTAACAGCCACCATGTGGTATATTGCAAATGGCCCAAAATAAAGGTTAATGTTTGTGGCCTCTATGCAGATCTGCACTAGGAACTGAGCACAGTGCTGAACTGACATGTAAGCAAAATCCTCTCCTGTTCCTCTCAGTTTCTTCATTCAGTCAGACCTTCTGTCACATTGAGATGGGGAGGCACACACTTCTCAATGAATTAAACCTGGCTCTATCTCTTGGCTGTAATTTATAAAGAGGTCATCAAACTGACTCCTGCAAAATACTAACAGAGTAGCTAGTACTTAACTGCCCTTTTGCTTGGATTGTATTAAGGTTAGGCAACTATGGCTCTGCAGATGTTTTTGGCTGATAGCTCCTATCATTGCTAGCCAGTGGCGAGGGATTATGGGAGTTACAGCCCCAGAAGCATTTGGAGAACTACTGTTGCCTACCCCTTCAGAGAAGTAGCATTTTAGGCTATACAACAGTGGTTTGAATGAGGGTTGGGCAAAATGCAGCCCCTCCCCGGCCACATACATCCCCTAGATGTCCAGATGTGACCTGCAAATCACAACCACCTTTTTTTGGTCAAAAACTCCCTTTGTGCCCTCTGGAGCAGATGGACTAATTGTGCCATGCTACCCCCCTGGCATACTCCAAAAAATCTTTGTAATTACTATTTTTGGAATTGGGGAACATAGTGCAGTAGGGGATCTTGAATCTCTTTATAATTTTCAAAAGTCATTATTGAATTGAACTATACTTCTGGAATGCTGACTTGCCTCTTCTTTCATTAGAAACTATTCTATATGATTGGTTGGGAGCTATTTAGGCATCAGAGAATGATAGAACTGTACTGGTGCTGGTACTGTTCTGAATCATGTTTATGTATGCATATATAATAGTACTTGTACATACTTTTATAGACATAGACTCTATAATTTATCAATCTTTTTTTGATAATTTATCCTAAATGAAAGGATTTTATTGTTTAGAAAATGAATAATAGTTGTTGTGGGTTTTTCAGCCTCTTTGGCCGTGTTCTGAAGGTTGTTCTTCCTAACGTTTTGCCAGTCTCTGTGGCCAGCATCTTTAGAGGAAAGCCTTCGCGAATAAAATGAATAATAGTTAATGAATTCAAAAAAGCTTGTATTAAAGTCTTGTACCTAGCCTATCTTAGTGAAGTATTTGTGACTATGTTTGAGGTGGTTTTTGATTTCGATTTTGCTTAATAGGGTAAGTCCTTTTATTATTTAACACTTAAATAAATTACATCATTCAGTAATGTTTATAAATAACTAATTTTAGAAGCTAATTAGCCACTTTGATCACGATCCTCGCAGTTCTGGCAGTGCTTCTTGAGTGTAGAGCTCCTGATCTTAATGACTGTTCTGAATGACAGTCTAAGGCCCCACTGAAATTGACAATCTCTACTTTAAACCACAACAATTTACTATTTCACAGTTGTCTCAATAATTAAGAAATGAAGGATGTCTTCTCGCCTGGTCATTGAATGGTCACCTATGATTCACAGTTTGGCCAGACATAGAGAATCCATATTGAAGGTGTGGTCTCTCGAATAATTCTGCCATTAACTGCTAACAGCAGTGAGTATGACATACTGTATGGGGAGATCCATTGCGATCTTATAGGAAAAAGCAGCAATGTGGACAAGTTCGTCGTTGTGTTCTGATAGCAGTTTTGGAATTGGGGGCTTAATTACATTTAGAGAACATCCTTCAAGTTTCCCCCCTGAAAAACTGGCCACAGAAGGTGTAATTGGTTTTTAAAGATGTACACACGGAGAGGGAAAGAAAGGAAAGCTGAGCCCTCATGTTAACCTTCGCCCCTTTTTACTGGGAATGCCTCCTTGAGCCTAATTTCTCCCATCAGAGGGAAAAACAAGTAAAGACACACTGTTATCATTTTCTATGGATTGAAGAAAGCATCCTGGGGAAATAGTGATTTTCAGAAGGAAAATGTTGGTGCTAAATAGATGTAAATGTCCTCGTGAAGTAGTGCAGGCTTTCTAAGAAAGATGTAGGCCACTAATGCTTCATTTTGTAGGAGGCGGTGGGGACACTTTATACAATTGAGGTGCCATTTATAGTGTACCGTATTACTGTATCATTAGAAATAACTTCTAGTCATATTAAGTCCTACTGAGATCAATGGCGTATTTAAGTATATTCTGCTACAATCAGCTTTTGAAAAAAAAACAACAAAGATGTACAGGTGATTCTTTGTGGTATCTCACAAGAAACTATATAAAAATACATACAACATGTATATATATATAACTCATGTATAAGTAAATACTTTAACATCATGCTGATTTCAGCAGGAGAGGTTGACCCATATGCTTAAATAAATAAACTGAGCTTAATGTGAAGCATATAGGTAAAGCTTTCCTGTTGAAATCAGCAAATTACAGTATGACAGTTACTGTATATATTTTTTCTGACAGTTAGGGTATCAAAACATACACCTTAGCTGTCACAGAAAAAATACTGTATATAACATACTGTGTTCATGTATGTTATATATGTATATTTCCATGTTGCACCTATGGAAGATATTTCCTATGCATTTCCGTTGCCCAGTTGGCCTTTTCCCTCCTACTTTACAGTAACAAGTATGAAAAATATTGCCTTATCTTAGTCTATTCTGTACCTATCTGTTATGTGTGTTTGCCTATAATGAAATTAATAGTAGTTCTGAGTCATCATTTCACTTGTTCTCACAGCCTCAGATTTCCTAAAAAAATGATGCTGATTTCTTTCATCGGTAAACTGAGGCATCCATATAATTTGCCCAAACTTAATTAGCAAGGCTGTTAGTAAAAAGAAGTCTATACTCAGTTCTTCAGAACTTGAAGCTAGCACCTGAACTTTGTGGTGCCTCTTCTATTTTTTTTTTTTTTAATAAACTGGTTTTGCAAAATGCTGGTTTTTGTTTTTTTAAAAATGATGGCAGGGATGAGTTAAAATCCCATCACTAGTAACTGCTTCATAGGCAAAAACTACACACGGCGCCTAAGTCAGTAACATTACCTTGCTACTACTGGGTAGTTGGCATGCTAAGCCAGCCAACCCTATTCTTACAAATGTCCCTCCTTCTGCATTTCCAGAAAACTTGAGAGGAGAGCTTTTAGACAGTCTCTCATCTCTGGCAGTTGTCCCAGTGTACCAGCTGATATTGCTTGGCTAATCTGGGAGGGGGGCAGTGCATGAGGATTGGCCAGCAAGTAACCTAGGCGTCAGATTAATGAAGTGCTCCTGTCAGTCCAGAGTGTCACGCTGAAACTCCTCTTGATGTGCTCATAAATCAAAGTGACGGCGCCTGTTACCCCAGTAGCTGCACCCGCTCAGCTGCGTCTAATGTAAACAGAGCGCAGACAAAATGCATTAAGGAACTCAAACCCCATCACTAGGGAGAAGATCAGTGATCAAGGGAGTAGAGAGTTGGAGCAAAAAGAGGGAGGGTGAGATTTTGGGATTGCACCCTAACTGGTAACCAATATTTGTCTCCACCTCCAAGAGAAGGAAAGATTAGAGAGGCCCAGTGGGCGTCAGTGACTGGCAGAGTAAGGTTCAGTAATTACTTTCTTTGTGTTTAAGATTTTTATCTGTGGTCAGATAAGCTTCATACTTCATTGGTTCTATCAAAAGTACGGAGC